GCAATAGCCTTCATTCTTTTGTATATTTATACAAGGTCAGATTATTGCCCCCACAACTGGGTCCTCAATTTACCTACCTTAGAAAGGATGGAAGGCTGAGTCAACCTTGAGCCTTGGCGAGATTTGAACCTGCAGTAATTGCAGGCAGCTGTTCTTAATAACAGGGTGCTTTAGACCACTGTACTGCCAAGGCCCTTGTTGGCTCCAAAGACACAAAGACTCCAAAGAACTTGTTGGCTCCAAAGACACAAAGCCATGTTAGTTTGTCATCCATCCCTGGAAGAGTGTCTATTTCTGATGAATATTGGGAGGCAAGGAGGCCTCTTCCTTCTAACTGGTATACACAATAAATTGTTCTCTGAAGGAGCAGTATTGGCATTTACTGTTGTGAATTCAGTTCTGAATGGTCCATATTTATAAATGCCTCCGAGTTAAAAACTGGGGCCAGGGGACTGGGTGAAGGTAGTAGTCAAGTAACAGTCTCCCTTTTTAATGATATTTGATTCTTCTTCCCATTAGAAATAACATAGGCTTATGGATCAGAATTCTCCAAAGGATTCCAATGAGGGCATCATTTCTCTTCAGAAAGAGAAATTATAACAATTCCTTCCTGTCCCACAGATTAGGAATTCTCTTGCTCTAATTGTATAAGGGCAACAGTTGTCATTCCTACAGCATTGGCTTGAAATTCCTGTAAATTGTAAAAGATACTTCCATGTTCTTTTCTAAGTCTAAATTCCCCTTCCTATTTAGGGAGTTTCTGGAAGAGTTATCCCTTTCTTAGGCCAAAGGATACTGAATGGAGATTGGTAATCTCTTATAAAAATCATATGCCAATTAGCATTTAGGAGCCAAATGATATGGTAATATGAATATCTAAAAATTCCTTTTGCAATGTAATAGTTGGTACAGCCTTGGTAGTACAGTGGTCTAAAGCACCCTGTTATTAAGACCAGCTGCCTGCAATTACTGCAGGTTCAAATCTCGCCAACCTCAAGGTTGACTCAGCCCTCCATCCTTTCTAAGGTAGGTAAATTGAGGACCCAGTTGTGGGGGCAATAAGCTGACTTTGTATAAATATACAAAAGGATGAAGGCTATTGCTTAGCGCATTGTAAGCCGCCCTGAGTCTCCGGAGAAGGGCGGCATATAAATCAAATTTTAAAAAAATAGTTTAGGGAAGTTAATCCAACAAATCCAGTTATACTGGAGATTGCCTATAAGAAGGGCAATTTGATTAGTTTGTATCTTTCTTCTGGAAGGGGAGCTTCCTTCAATGAAGTGATTTTATTACTAAGGGGTTGGTTGCTATATAATCAACTCTGCCTTTATTTGAGTTCTATTTGCCCCATCAGTTTCTAACAGCCCACCCTTCAGTTTCTCCCCAAAATAATGCATTGTCCTTGAGAAACTTATTGTCAAGTCTTCAATGTTTTGATTCAAGAAAATTTCTCAAAGAGGCATGACAAAGTTTTAAGCATCAACTATGTTTGCATAGTAAGAACTGATGGCCAGATCTGGCCTTAGGTTCATGCCCCAGCATACCAGATCCCAAATTATGCAATCTGGGACAGGAAGATCATTTAATTACAATTTATTCAGAAACTTCTGATAAAAGGCAGATCCTCTCATGCAAACCGTAGGTATCACCTTGCCACCCTTCTTATCAGTAAACGAGATCAGGGATGTCAAACTCAATGCCCACAGGCTAAATATGGCCCATGTGGTGCTTAGATCTGGCCCACTGTGCTGGCCTGGAAAAAGCAAAGGACCGGCCCATGGTGCCTCTGCCAGTGTGCCCCCCCCTGCGCCCCATTTTCAGCCATGACGGCCTCCTGCAGCCCACTGCCAGCAAAAAAACAGCTCGGGGGTGTGTGCGCTCCCCCCCCCGCACCTGATTTTTGGCCATGATGGCCTCCTGCAGCCTGACCACCCCCGCAGCTCCGTTTTCACTGGCAGAAGGCTGCCAAAACAAACTAAAAACAAAACAAAAGGAGAAATGTTTTCCCTTTTGCATTTGAGCATGCAAGAAGGGACAGGAAAGGAGAAAGGGAAAGAGGAAAGACAAAGAAAAAGAAGGGAAGATGGGAAGAGAGCAAGGAAAGAAAAATAAGGAAAGGGGAAGGAAGAAGAAAGAAGGAAGAGGGAAGGAAAAAGAAAAGGAAGGAAGGAAGGAAGGAAGGAAGGAAGGAAGGAAGGAAGGAAGGAAGGAAGGAAGGAAGGAAGGAAGGAAGGAAGGAAGATTATAGAGTGAGGGAGGGTCTCAGGGAAGTCCTGCCTTAGTACTTGGCCACCACAGGTGCTCCCAATGTGAGTCCTGTGTCATGCCCACCCTGGCCACCCCCATCCTGGCCACCTGCCCCACCCCTGCTCCCTGGCCCTCTGAGGTCAAAAACAACCCTGATGTGGCCCTCAATAAAATTGAGTTTGACACCCCTGATCTAGATTGATAGAAGAGAATATTTGAGGTTCAAGATTGAACTGTGGGGTCCTTGTCTCTCTCAGCTTGGTGGTTTTCTTGCAGACATTTCATTACCAAACTAGGTAACATCATCAGTGCTAGTATCATCAGTGAGAGCACCAAAGACCCCACAGAGACTGGATTTTTAACCAAGGGTTGTTTGAAACATGTGTTTTTATTCTATCTGGCCCATTCTATTTTGACACCTGCCCTAATAAAAGAGGGTCTAAATCAGTGGTGGGTTGCCCCCTGTTCACACCAGTTCTATAGAACTGGTAGTAGAACCGGCAGGAGGCCCCGCCCACCGACATCACCAAAATGCTTTTGCGCATGCGCAGAAGAGCACACGCATGCGCGTGTGGCCCCACTGCAAACCGGTAATAAAAGTAAGTAGAACCCACCCCTGCCACCAAGCCACACCCACAGCACCGTTAGTAAAAAAAAATTGAATCCCACCACTGAGTTTCTCCCATCTCAGAAAGCGTAAGACGTTTACATTCTACTTTCTATAATTGTTTTCAAAGATCGGCCTTTAACTTAACAGGGTTAAACCCCTCCCCCTTTTATTCAGAAAAACACTTATGAGGCTGAGAAATACAGCAATCAGGCTGTCTTCCAGTCTAGTGCAGTCCATTCCGTAGATTTATATCATTGAAAGCAGCAGTGTTTCTAAGAAAGATAGATACACAATGATAGTCCAATTCTTATTTATGCATTGCACTGTCTGAGAAAGTGTGTTTCCCTCATTTGCATCTGTTCAGATGAGTAGCTCTTTTGAATTTCCAAAGCACCCAAAGATTTTAGCTCAATTATTGCTCTGTCAAGGCGCAAACTAACATTCAGCTGAATGTTCTTTTACTCTCCTGTCAAACGCGCAATGCTTTTATTTAATCTTATTTAAACAGAAAAAGGAAAATACTAGTGAAAACGAATAAGAAAAGCCTGCTCCTCAGCGTGCTCCTCTGCACTTTCTATCCTCTATAAGTGAATAAAGGTTTCCTTGTGTGGGTGCTGGGCACATCCTAGCGGTTGCAGCCTGGTTAGTCATGTAATGTGACGCTTTTGGGCAAGGCCACAATAGCAGCCCGAGGTTATGGGCGCTTGTCAATGGCTGGTCGTATCGCTTCGGAATGGCTCTTAGGTGGGGTGAGGCATGGAAGGGGTGCGCCGATGGCTTGTGGTGGCAGCCGTGCTGGGAATGGGGTCGAAGAGCACGGGTAAGTTCCTTCGTCTCCCTCTCCCTCTCTCTCCTTTCTGATCTGCTTTCAATGCCGGCTCGCAAAGAGATGGGATTTGGTGTCTCTTTGGATTTAATGTTCAGAATCAAAGGGGGACAGCAGCAGGGATGCGTGTCTCTTATTCTGGGCTCGGGCGTGAACCGCGAAGATATGATTCACCTTTCTCCTAGAAAAAGGAAAAGAAACTCAAAAAATATTAAAAGAGCAGGAAAATTCCCTAAAAGAAAATAAGCAGAAACTGAGGCAGAAGTTTCAGCCCCCACCTTTGTCAATGGGCCATTAAGAAGCTGAAGCCATCCTAATTTCCACAACAAAGGAAGGACAAAATTACAGGGGCCTGTAACATCCAAACAGGTATGGGACACAGAAAAAAAGCAAACACCCAAAAAGGAAAAGAAATCAAGCCAAAGTAATTAGAATTTTAAACACATGAGAGAAGGAGATATTCACTAAAACACAGTAATAACAAACTGATTAATTATAGGGAACGAACAACTACAAAGGGCTAGGAAAAACAGAAATTGGACTATAAAACAATTACTTAGTTGCCAGATCCAGGACGGAAGAACCCAATCACAAAAAAGCAGGATTTAAACACCATAAAACAATCACACACACAAATCAAAGGATTCACATGACAAATCAAAAGAATTTCAAAAGACTTTAAAGGGTCACATAGAAAAATCAAAAGAGCTTTTAGGATATAAAAAGGGGTTTTTCTTACAGCTCAAACAGGCTAGCCTCGGAACGCTGTGCTTGTATTTGTTTCTTGCCTGTTTTCCTACAAACAATAAACATAATTCTGCTCTCAAGCAGCTGACCTCCAATCATTTCGAAGTAATCTCCCAGCTGGGAGTTTTGAATTCAAGAAGGGAAAGCTCTGCCTTCCAACAATTCTTAAAGGGAAAGGCTTCTTTTTTCCTTCCAACACAACGATAGTCCAATGTTATTTATGCATTGCACTGTCTAAGAAAGTGTTTCCCTCATTTGCATCTGTTCAGATGAGTAGCTCTTTTGAATTTCCAAAGCAGTCAAAGAATTTTAGCTCAATTATTGCTCTGTCAAGGCGCAACCTAACATTCAGCTGAATGTTCTTTTACTCTCCTGTCAAATGTGCAATGCTTTTATTTAATCTTCCCCCACAGAAAAAGGGAAGTGCTAGTGAAAAAGAATAAGAAAAGCCTGCTCCTCAGCGTGCTCCTCTGCACTTTCTATCCTCTATATTGCGAGGGTGCTGGGCACATCCTAGCGGTTGCAGCCTGGTTAGTCATGTAATGTGACGCTTTTGGGCAAGGCCACAATAGCAGCCCGAGGTTATGGGTGCTTGTCAATGGCTGGTCGTATCGCTTCGGAACGGCTCTTAGATGGGGCGAGGCATGGAAGGGGTGCGCCGATGGCTTGTGGTGGCAGCCGTGCTGGGAATGGGGTCGAAGAGCACGGGTAAGTTCCTTCGTCTCCCTCTCCCTCTCTCTCCTTTCTGATCTGCTTTCAATGCCCGCAAAGAGATGAGATTTGCTGTCTCTTTGGATTTAATGTTCAGAATCAAAGGTGGACAGCAGCAGGGATGAGTGTCTCTTATTCTGGGCTCAGGCATGAGCCGCGAAGATATGATTCACCCTTCTCCTAGAAAAAGGAAAAGAAATTCAAAAAATATTAAAAGAGCAGGAAAATTCCCTAAAAGAAAATAAGCAGAAACTCAGGCAGAAGTTTCAGCCCCCACCTTTGTCAATGGGCCATTAAGAAGCTGAAGCCATCCTAATTTCCACAACAAAGGAAGGACAAAATTACAGGGGCCTGTAACATCCAAACAGGTATGGGACACAGAAAAAAAGCAAACACCCAAAAAGGAAAAGAAATCAAGGTTGACTCAGCCTTCCATCCTTTCAAAGGTAGGTGAAATGAGGACCCAGATTGTGGGGGCAATAAGCTGACTTTGTATAAATATACAAAAGTATGAAGGCTATTGCTTAACGCATTGTAAGCCGCCCTGAGTCTCCGGAGAAGGGCGGCATATAAATTAAAGCAAAAAAAAAAAAAAATCAAGCCAAGTAATTAGAATTTTAAACAGAGATAACCCTTATCAGGCCACTATAAACAAACTCCCCCTCCGCTGCCCAGGAATGAGTTCCCTGCCCAGGCAGAGAAAAAGGCTGGTCCTTCATATTGGAAAGTCTAGAGCAGGGTGTCCAATTTTGGCAATTTGAAGAGTTGTGGACTTCAGCTCCCAGAATTCCCCAGCTGGCTATGCTCAAAGTGCTGCTGCCCAATCAGTTTATCTCTTTAAGTTAGACATCTCATTTTGAACATTATTTTAAATTTTAGTTTGGACTGCTGAGGCTCCAAGTCTGTTTCTGTTGTCAATCCCTGCTCTTAAAAGTTTAAGGCAATAAGAAGAATAAACGTCAGTGAATTCTTTTTATCTTTGGAGACTCGGGTGTTTACTTTCTTTTACTCGCTCTCTACCTCCATACAAGTAATTCTCCACTTACAACCATTCATTTAGTGGCAGTTCAAAATTACAAACAGCACTGAAAAAATTGACTTATGACGGTTTTTCACACTTGCGATCATTGCTGCATCCCCATGGTCACGTGATCAAAATTCAGATGCTTGCAAATCGGTCTATATTTATGATCGTTGTAATGTCCCGCTCTGTTGGAGATCACCTTTTGCGATCTTCTGACAAACAATGGGGACGCTAGATTCATTAACAATCATGTTATTAACTTAATAACTGCAGTGATTCACTTACCAACTGTGGCAAGAAAGGTTGTAAATTGGGGCAAAACTCACTTAACTGTCTTGCTTAGCAACGAACATTTGGGACTCAATTGTGGTCATAAATTGAAGATTAACTGTATCTACAAAGTTTTCTGCCACACTGATCATCTTTCAAGGAGGCAGTCAGTTCCAAAATGGTGGTGCCCAACTGATTTCAAAAGTTAGGGTGACCAAGACTGTTTTTTTAGGTTGCAGATTTTTCATCACAGTTCCATTATAGCCTTCAGTAGAAAAAACTTCCTATAATAACATAAATGATCTTTATTGTCTATTACGATCTTGATATCTTAGGGCAGTATAGTTGAAAGTTAGTTTGTTCAAAATACTCAGCTGATTGGTCACAGTGGGCCCTTAAGACCTGGTCCTGACTTGTACAAACTGATGTATCCTTAGTCATAAGATGAAGGCTTTTCTCTTGCAGGCCTTCTCCAGGAAGGAATTTTTCCAGAAAGAGTATTATTTTATTTATTTATTTCCCACCTTCATTATATTTTATAAATAACTCAAGGTGAAGAACATGCCCAATACTCCTTCTTTTTCTTCTTTTCCCTGCAACAACTAAGAGGGAGTAATTGGCTCAAAATCACACAGCCAGCTTTCATGAAAAGGTAGGACTAGAACTCACAGTCACCTGGTTTCTAGCCTAATGCCTTAAACTATTAGACAATTTCTTGAGGGTGGCAACACATCACATGGTCCTATATCTGTTTCTAGCCCATTGCATAGGCAACTTCTGTCCATCTTTTGATGTCGCACATCAAAAATAGAATTCTGTGACTTAACAGAAGCTCTGTTGCAGAGTTTTCCTATAGCACCTCTTTTGGCTATGGTTCAGTCTAAAAATGCTTCAAGGATCTGCTTAGCTTGTAACTTCCTTTTCAACAAACATTATGATCTTGCTATCTTGCTATTGCTATATTTCATGCTTCCTGAATGAATTAGCATTAATGAGAATAACTAAAATAAGAATAAGAATAATCCAAATGGGTAGATCCTGGATAACATTCAGAGCACCATGATGCTACTTTGAGAGAATAAATGCACTGAAGTGAATATTGAGGTTTTGTTTCTATGTCTTTTTTCTATTGTTTGTAACCCTGTGTACTGATTGCATAAGTTTCTCATAGTCCCCTGGTTTCGAGTTGCATAATAGTTAAATAACTAAATCAGGGCCCGTTGGCTTATTGCTTTCTCTCTACTTTGCCTTCACTGTTTTCAACAGTGACTGGAATTTCCCGTCACATGTAAAAAAATCAGAAAATCATCAACAGGAAATAGCTTAGTAGGTTATAGATACAAAGCCGTAATTGGTGAATTTTGAATTATTATTATTATATACAGGTAGTCCTTGAGGCTGTACAATTACGATTGTAAATCAAAACTGTCATAAAATGAATCAGACTGATTTTTTACATTTTTACTGCATTTATTAAATGAATCAATGAATCAACTGGGGTAGTAGAAAAGATGAGAAGGATAAAAATATTAATATAGCCACATAATATGGGTAAATATACTTAGACATAGAACAATACTGTGAGAATTAGGTATTCAGCAGAGTGATGGCACGAGGGGAAAAACTATCCCTGTGTCTAGTTGTTTTGGCATATAATAGCAGTGTTCTGAGGGAAAGAGTTGAAACAATTTATATTGTGAAGGATTTGTAAATACTTTCTCAACCTTCTTTCTGACCTGCACAATATACAGGTCTTCAATGGCAGGCAGGCTGGTTGCAATTGTTCTTTCTGAAGTTCTAACTATCTGTTGGAGTCTGTACCTGTCCTATTTATTGTATTTTTTGGACTATAAGATGCACTTCCCCCCCACAAAAAAAGTGGGTAGAAATGTCTGTGCATCTTATAGAGCAAATGTTGCCAAAGCCCACTCACCCACCGGCCCCCACCCTTTGGCCTCTGCCTCCCAGCAATTTGCCTCCTTGCAGCAAGCAGCAAACAGCAAACAGCCTGGTCAGCTTCAGCACAGCCTGATTTAGCATGAGCAGTTAATTGGTGGTTGGATCGGGCTCCCGCAATACCACCAATCAGCTGTTCCAGGCTGCAGGGATCGCCGCCACCCATCAGCACCATTGCCACCTATCGCCGCCTCTGCGTGCCCCATTTTTGGCTTTTGTGCATCCCGCTTTCAGGCTCCGCACGTCCCATTTTCAGCCTCCACGCATCCTGTTTTCGGCCCGTTCCAGGTGGCGGGGATTGCCGCCACCACTGCCTATCCCCACTGCCTGGAACGGGCCAAAAATGGGATGCGCTGAGGCCAAAAATGGTCCATGCGGAGGCAGCAATAGGTAGCAGTGGCAATGGGCGGTGACAGTGCCAATGGGTGGCGGTGATCCCCACAGCCTGGAACAGCTGATCTGTGGTATTCCAGGAGGCAGATCCAACTGCCAATCAGCTGCTCTTGCTAAATCAGGCTGTGCTGAAGCTGATCAGACTGTTTGCTGCAAGGAGGCAAATTGCTAGGAGGCAGAGGCAGAATTTTTTTTTCTTGTTTTCCTCCCCAAAAGCTAGATGTGTTTTATAGTCCAGAGTGTTTTATAATCTGAAAAATACGGTTGCTGTACCAAACCAGACAATTATCAAAGTATAAATGACAGACTCAATAATTCCTCTGTAGAACTATCACAGCTCCTGGGGCAGTCTGAACTTCCTAAGTTGACAGAGGAAGAACATTCTTAGTTGTGTCTTTTTAATGATGGTTCAAATCTTAGGTGTCTATTTCAAATTCTGGAAGATTATAGAACCCAATAATGCTTCTATTTCTGATACTGTGCTGTCAAATGTAGTAAGTGGTGGTCTTCCTAAAATCCACACTCATCTCTACAGTTTTAATCACGTTCAGCTCCAGATTGTTCCAGATGTACCACAGTTGTTCAACTTCTTGTCTATATGCAGATTCATCACCAGCTCAAATGAGACCAATGATTGTTGTATCATCTGCAAACTTCAGTACTTTAACAGAGAGTTCTTTTGGGATGGAGTCATTGATGTAGTGAAAGAAGAGCAGTGGAGAGAACACTTAGCCTGCAGGACACTGGGTGCTCAATGTGATTTTCCCTAGCTTCACCTGTTGCTTTGTAGCTTGTCAAAAAGCTAATCACCTAAAAGTATGGACGGGTACAGTTAGCTGAATCAGTTTGGAGTGAAGAATTTCTGGAATGATGATATTGAATGCCAAGCTGAAGTCTACGAAAAAGATTTGTGCATAGGTCCCTGGGGATTCAAGATATTGCAAGATGTCCTGCAGTGCCATATTTAGAGCATCATCTGCCAATCTACCGGTATTTGTTCAGTAGGCAGACTGCAAGGGATCTAACAGTTGTTCCATAATGATTTTCAGGCGGGTCAGCACTAACCTCTCAAAGGTCTTGATAACTACAAATGTCAGAGCAACCAGTCTGTAGTCATTCAGCTCCTTGATGGAGGATTTCTTGGGAACTGGGATGATAATAGAGTGTTTCAAACAAGAAGGGACATAGCACATCTCCAGCGATCTTTAATAGATACAGGTGAAGATGGGGCCAGTTGTTCAGCACAACTTTTCAAACAAGAAGGAGTTACTCTGTCAGGGTCTGGGGCTATTCCAATCTTTTGCCTATGAAATAGGCCTCACATATCTTTTTCTAAGAGATGCAGCGGCCCCCAACCTTTTCTAAGATCACTAGAGCAGTGGCCCCCAACCTTTTGGGCACCAAGCACCAGTTCCCTGGAGAGACGTCTTTCCACAGACCAGAGGGGGAGTGGTTTCATGTGCTGCCTACATCCTGTGGATGGGGCTTTGCTTATTTGCGCAGCCCGGTTTCTGGCATGCTGCGGCCCAGTGCTGGTCCATGGACTAGGGCAGAGGTCTTCAAACTTGACAGCTTTAAGACTTGTGGACTTCAACTCCCAGAATTCTCCAGCCAGCATAGCTGGTTGGAGCATAGCTGGCTGGAGAATTCTGAGACTTGAAGTCCACAAGTCTTAAAGCTGCCAAGTTTGAAGACCTCTGGAGTAAGGGTTGGGGACCCCTGGCCTAAAGGGTTGGAGATAGGTGTAGGAGATTTGGCTACTTTGGGTGAATCTGAGGTGGGAAAGATAACAATGGTTGACAATTATCTCCTCTCAAATATATATGTAGATTCAAGCAGCATGGCTTTTTGTAATTGACAGCTGGCAATTTTGTCAATGCACAGATTTTTTGCTCCAAGGGAGTTTGGTATGAACCCACTGTCCCAATAACTACTAGGACCTCCACTGCCAGTTTATGCCATAATCTTTCAGTTTTATTTTTCAGATCTTGATACTTTGTGATTTTCTCCAATTCTTTGTCTTGTATTCTACTATCCCCTAGTATTTATCCACATTGTCTTCTTTTCAACCAATTATATCTGGTGTGTTATGAGCAAAGACTTTTATCAGTCTATATTCAGAAATCCCAAAATATGTTAACCTGCTAATTTTTTACTTTTACTATGTTCTTTTCTAAAATATTCACAGGTTTAACATGTCTGGAACACCCACAAAATGTTACCATCAATGTTATTAATGCAAATATTATACTGAAATGGGACTGGGATAATCCATGTGGCCTCAATGTAACATTTTCAGTACAATACCACAGGTAAGTGTACATTTTATCCTGTTTTGCAGCACTTTTGAACAGAATTCTATTTTGGTTAAAATTAGGCAGATGCAGCATATAAAGTTTCTGTTACTTTAAAGCAGAAATAGTAATGAACAACACTGTACATGTACATGTGTTCTTGATGCTTTCAAGACAGGCTTATCTGGTTTTTAAAAAAATAAAGTATTTTTTTAAATATATGGGGCAAGATAGAGTACTGCAATAGGGGATATTTCCATAATTTTCCATTGGTCATGGAATTCCAGCTGGCAGAGTCCAGGAGAAGAGCCTTTTCTGCCCTGGTTCCTGCCCTCTGGAATACAGTGTCCCATCCCATCCTGCCCCCCCCCCCCCCCCCCCCCCCCCCCCAGGTGAGATGCACACCCACCCTTTTGGCCTTCCGAAAGGGCCTAAAGACCCAGCTCTGCCAATGCCCTGGGGCCCTAATTGGGTATGGAGGTGTTTAATGGATTAAGACCTCCTCCCCATGTGCATCTTGCTCCTTTTCTCTCTATATCTGTCAATTTTAATTCAAACTTAATCTTACTATTTATTGTTTTAATATTTCATACTGGCATTTTATTAAATGATTGTAAGCTACCTGGAATCTCTGTTGATGATATGGGTACCATGTAAGTTTAATAAATAAATAAACCTTCCAGGACCAATGTAAATGTAATAACATTCTTTCTTTTGTTTTTTCGTGAATGACTGGTTCCCAGCATTTTATTTGAAAATGTGTCCAAGACCTTTTGCTTTCTTTTTGCAATTATTCCAGACACTCTGCAATCTGGGCAGCTCTTCCTCAATGTCAGAATATAATCGTCACAGAATGTGATCTCTCGTCAGCAATTCAAGATTATTTAGTATCTTATAATGTAACTATAAGAGTGAACACTCTGAAAAACCACTCTCCTTATGCCTTTTTAGAATTTACTCCTTATCTAGAAGGTATGAATCTTTGCCTTGTTTACTCACATTAGAAAACAAAGTTGGTAATTAAATGTACATCTTTATTTTACTTGTCTCAACAGGCAACAACAGTGTCTTGATGATTTTGCTTGAATTTAGAAGCTAAGTCATGTCAGACCTCATTAATAGTTGGAGAAGAGGACAGACATGACTTCCCTCCTCACGGCAGAGTGCCAGTAAGAAAATAGATTTTATTGTGTGAAAGTTCAAATCATTCTGGAAAACTCCTGAAGTTTTGTTTTGTAAAGTTCCTGATAAAAGAATTTTCTAATACGCGTTGGGCCTTCACATAATAAAATGTGTTTTCTTACAAGCATTTGAAACGTTCCCTTTCCTTTTGTTTCTGGTTAAAACACAGAGAAATCTTTTAAAAAATTAAGGCAATAGCAATTCTCTTTTGCACTGTTATCAGAGACACCAAAGGGTTTCTGTGGGGTTATTAGGAGTTGAGCTGAGTTGAAAGCATCTGTACCACTGCTTTTCTGTTGCTACATAATGATCAGACTTTGCCATATTATGGGTTTCTTGTTGTTGTTGTTGTTGTTAGTTGCGAAGTTGTGTCCGACCCATCACGATCCCTTGGACAACGTTCCTCCAGGCCTTCCTGTCCTCTACCATCCTCATGGGTTTCTATTGGAGTTATTAAAGAATTTTCCATTTATTAGAGAAGCTTGTCCTTTCTTCTTGTTCTACCATTATACAGTAGAACTTTGGAATTTTCAATAAATGCTTTGAGGATGAAAACTTTTTATCTTTCTTAGGAAGACAGAGAAGGGAATAGAGGGGATTATACTTTTTTCTTTGGCAGCTAGCTACTCATTATCCCCCATTTATATGTTTATCAGACATCTTACTTTTGGATAGATTATCAAGTCCTTTCTCCTACCCCATTTCTTATCTTTTTACTACTGGTGGTAACCCTTCTCTTTTAACTCACTCATTATCTCTTAAGGCTAGAAAACTAACTCACTCAACATCATTTTTCAATAATTTTACATTACCCACCTTCCTTTCATGCCAGATTCTGTTTCTCTTTGATATACAGACATTTCCCAAGAGCTCTGTGATTATCTCTTAATCTTTCATTTAAAAAATAATAAATGTCACAAAAGAAGCAGGCTCTTTCCTTCTGTCTACCATGCATTCGAAATCACAGTTCCTCTTTCTGCAAGAAACATGCTATTGCTGTTTTCTTAATTTCTTAAAAGTATAGTGACAAACATCCATATTTCTTCCTTTTTGGGCTAATATCAGAAGAAAAGTGAGACAGAAAGAGCATCTCCCAATGTACAGCACTCTGCTAATGTATGTTTTGGCTCTTGTTATTTAACTTTAATGCTAGAGAATTTACAGAATTTACAGGCTGGAGTACTTCATGCTCTCCAATTAAAGTTTGCAGTTATATTTTAAATATAAAAATAAGTAATATATAGAACAGGAGTAAGACGCCTGTCAGGGTCTTGGATTACATTTAACTTTTCAGGGGAAATACATACAAGGAGATTATGAAGTGGTGGACTTTATTGTGCATGCTGAAAGACAGTTGGGGACAGGGTTACATTGTATGCTTTGACTTTATTAAAAATACAGTGTTAGGGTATCTTCTGCCATTCTTATATATGCACTGCCTCACAATGATAAGAAATTGGACTGCAAACTTTGGATCTTTGTATCAGAAGTCCACAGTACAATTAGAGGGATTTCCAGAATCATTATGAGTTATATTTGTTTTAACATCCATTGTGAAAGATACCAACACTAATTATGAATATTGTTCAATAAAACATGGTTAAAACAATCTATGGCTTAGCATGATGTGTGAACATGGTATTATGATCAGAAAGAGCAGTTCTGCATACTTTTTCAGTGATAGGCTTCCACTGAAACCTGCAATGATGGGATGATAAAAGACATTTCTTTTAAAGGTGAAATGGAGCTCTTGCCCAGAAGTGGATGATCCCAAGCTACCTCAACACTTCATGGCTGAATAGAATTTGAACCTTTTTTTTTTTTTTTGGCCTTTGATATTTCTTACCACACAATGTTAGTTGTCAACACATTTAATTAGCACTTTTTTACAACTAGCAAGCTTCCTGTTTTTATGGGGGTTCAAACTAGTTCTCCCATCTTACTTTTGTCATGGCCCCGGACTCAGTCTCTGAAGAAACTACTCCAGCTGAACCAGTGGAATGTCAGCCTCAGGGGACCCAAGGCAGGAATCCCATGAGGCTGATCAAGGACAAATACCATTGGACCAGCTGGAGCAGTCAAGATAATGGTGGACAATCTTCAAGCCCTTGGACTTGGTGAGTAGAGCAAAGAATGGAGCAAAGACACTCTATGAAGTTCCTTGCCAAGCAAGGGAGTGAATCCCTTGATTAAAGGCTGCTGGCTGGAGCTTGATTGAAGAAGTAGCCCTGATACATGTTTCTCTCCTGGAAACAACTGTCAGATCTCTTTCTGTGGTGTCTCCTGTAACCCTGATTTTTAGAATAGCTGACAAACCTGCCTTGGCTCTCTGAACTACACAATGGATTTGGCTCCCCTTCTGTATGTTCCTACTGAAAGTGAAACTACATAGGCAAGCTCTCCAAGGGACTCCGTTTTGATTTACATTCCTTGCCTTGCCTGCCATTATCTATTTAGCCTTGAGGAAATTGCTATTTTCACCTAGGAACTGAATGGGTTTGAGATTGAAACCCAAAACAGGACAACTTTGATCGTTCCCTTTTTTTAAAAAATACATTTTTCTTTGTGCCTTGTGGGTAAGAAATAGCTGATTGTCCACAATGACAACCATTGAGTAGGATTGCCAGGTGCCATATTCCAAAGCAGCTGTCTTTTTTTACCAGCTGTCTTTCTTATTTGGGACCTACTCTAACCAGCTGAGGCAGCCATGGGCAATCTGTTTTTTCTTAGACCCTTCCTGGTGATTGGGTTCTAAAGTCTTTATTGCTGCCTTCTAAATAATTAACTTGCTTTTTAATTTCCTAACTGTTTCATGGCATAAAGAGGAAATTTATGGAGAACCAGGTAAAGCTATCCAATATGCTCTGGTAGAAATGAAATAAAGGAGAACTCAGTGATAATTCTTGGCTATTGCTAAGGATGCTGACCTTGGTCCCATCCTACTTTCTTTAGCTACTATTAAGCACAATGAATCATTCTATTTGTTGAAAAGTGGAAGAGCAGTTGAGCAAGAGGAACTATGCAAAGACAGGAAATAAGGTATGGCAATTGTTACTGCTCTCATTTTGGACCAAGATATAGGTACTGCTTCTAAGCAAAGGTGTTGCAAAGTTGTGATTACAAAAGCTACAATAAATATTTACTTATCATTTGTTTTTAATGATACTATGTTTCAGTCTCCTGAACTGGAGACAGTACCTATGGTTGGGTTCATACATTACAGCATGCCATTTTTTTAACCATGATTTGTGGACTAATTCATAATCACTTTTACCTTCGGCATTCCACCATGCTGCAAACAAACCATTTCATCTTACTTTATTTTTGTTTTAATGCTTCTTATGAAAAACTTCACGGAGTAAGAAAACGTCTAAAAAAATAAACCTACCTCTAAAATAACCCATATACAAATTCAGAATTATGCAACAAATATACACAAACACGTGTCTACCAAACTAAACTCTTCAGTTACAACGTTCGTTCTTCCTATACTTAGTGGCATAATGTCGATTGCTGTCTTTAAATCAGGATGGGAAAGAATAGAAGGATCTCTATGGGGAGGCAATTAGGGTATGAGAGCAATAATCAAAATGTCAGCTTCTGAGACTCTGTCTGTCTGTCAGATTGATTTCTTGTATAGACAGGCTCTTGAGAGTATGGACCATATTCAACCTGATTAGATAGGTAGATTAATATGGGAGCAGGCAATTCCACATATAACCTAGTCCAGAGCTCTATATAGGGCCTTAAAGATAATTGACAGCACTTGCAAATCAATCGGCAACCAATGCAGCTCCTGAAATTATGTGGTTGCCAAAGGGTATTGTATTATAGGAATGATCGTGGGCATGAGTGTCAAACTCGTGGCGTCAACGGCGGCATCACAGGACGTATCGCGACTTTTTCCCCCTTCGCTAAACCGGGCGTGGGCATGGCCAGCGTGTAATACATCCAGCCTGTGGGCCGCAAGTTTGACGGCCTGAGACAGGGCAAAGAGATACAGCCCAGGGAATGGTTAGTTAAGAGGCAGGTCTGTGGTTGTCTGGTGATCATTAATTCCTGGGCTGTTCTAGGGAATGCAAGTTGTAGATGCCCAACATCAGTTTGGGGAATTCTACTGCAATCTTAGTAGATGGGCTGAGAAATCCTGGCAAGGATACTGATAAGGATGGGGAGGAATGGGACACAATAGTAAGTCCAATGCCCCTTTAGGCCTACCACAATGCCCCTTTAGGCCTACCAATTCTATGAAACAAATTCATAGAATTTAGGAAATAATGCATCTTGCTGCCAATATGGATGAGAATAGCTATCCCACCCTCTTCTACCCTAGGAGCTTGTCAATCGAAAGTTCGACAGTTCAGTGGTTCGAATCCTTAGTGCCGTGTAACGGGGTGAGCTCCCATTACTTGTCCCAGCTTCTGCCAACCTAGCAGTTCGATAGCACATAAAAAATGCAAGTAGAAAAATAGGGACCACCTTTGGTGGGAAGGTAACAGCGTTCCGTGCTCCTTTGCCATTTAGTCATGCCGGCCACATGACCACGGAGACGTCTTCGGACAGCGCTGGTTCTTCAGCTTTGAAATGGAGATGAGCACTGCCTCCTAGAGTCAGGAACAACTAGCACATATGTGTGAGGGGAACCTTTACCTTTATAAATACTTCAGAGCAAGTACTTTTAATCTTTTCTGCTGATATTTTCATCTATAGCTCAAGTGGGTCCTCCAGGAGTTTGGTTTGAACCAATATATGGAGGTGTAAAAATCAATATTTTACATCCTGAGGGAGATCAACAAAAAATGTGGATGCTAGACACATTAAAATATCAGCTAACTATCTGGAAAAATGCAACCCATTCTAAGGTAACATATTTTTTTCTTAAATGATTAATATTTGCTGATATATTGTGTGTGTGTGTCTGTGTAGAAACCATTATGATAGAAGTATAAATGAAATGGGTTTCTACATTTCTTTCAGAAATACATTTTTTTCTAAAGTGCCTTAACTATTTGCTCAAAAGTTGTCTTGGATTCTGGGGCATTTTTAGTATATAAAAATAAGAGCAAACCTTACTCCCTTCTGGGATTAATGATGTTACCTACTTTTGTAACTTTTGTCCCTTCTAACCTCACAATTCAAGAAAGATAAGCAGTGACATCCCTAGGAAGAGACCTGAGTGTCATCATATTGCCAACTGATAAAGGAAAGATGCACGGTAGTCCTGAATGACTGCAAAGTCAAGGTGAACAGTTTAGGCTTTGAAGAGAGATCCTGCCAGCACTTATAAGTCAGCAAGATTCAGAAACTAAACTGAATCCTGATGAAACAATTATTTCTTATGATGTCACTTTTCACCTTCATTCCCACAGCTGAAGTAGTCACAGGAGTGAGGAAACTATTATAAGGTAGTAGTACCTTATAGTACTACTTCTGTCACACTTTAGGTGACAGAATCAACCTTAGCCCAGACTGCATATGTAATATGCTGGACCACCATTCTATTTCAAATACAACAAAGATTTTTTTTACATAGAAAAGCACTGCTGTGCTAGGAGCTCACCTATTGTCTCCCATTGTGGCCAATGTCTCCATGGAAGAAATAGAATCAAAGGACGATTCCTTCTTTCACAGGAATTCCACCCATCCATTGGTATAGATACATGGAGGATACCTGGGTCAAAGTTAAAACACAGGAAGTGGAAGCCTTCACTAAATACATCAATATGTGGAAAGCAACATTAAGTTCACACTAGAGGATGTTAAGGGACATAGCCTGGCCTTCCTGGCTGTGCAGTGCATATAAGAAACCCCCACACAGAGATCAGTATTTATCTTTTGACTCCTACCACCCACTGGAGCACATACTGGCAGTAATCTGAACCTTACATCACTGGGCTAAAAGTTTGCCCACAAGCAAAGAGGGAAAACAAAACAAAAACATATCAAGGAAGCACTCAAAATTTGAAATTATCCCAACTCTGTCTTTGTCAAATCCATAGAAAGATTCAGTAGGAACATCTTCACTACAGACAGAGAAGGAGAGAACAAACAGAACAACATTGTCATTCTATACGCATTTGGGGAGGGATGAAGCTATTTTCTGAATTTTCTACATCAGTGTTTTTAAAGATATCAGCTTACCCATGTTAAGCCAATAATGTATCTTAACTTTCTGCAACAAGAATTGTCAACATTGTTGCAGTATTGCAATAATAGTAATACAATTGCTACAATAATAATAACTAACAGTAAATTCAATTGTCTCTAGGAAAAAACACGATCTATTTTTCCAGGTGAAATCATTTATGATCTTGAACCAGAAACTACTTATTGTTTGAAAGTTAAAGCACATATGGATGATCACTTTTCTATTTACAGTCCCATGCATTGTATACAGACTTCTAAAGGTATTATATCTATGTGTTCATTTTAAGCATGGAAATCCCTTGAAACCTGCTTTAAAAAAAAAACACCATAGCATTTTACTTACAATAATATTGTAGTCCAGGGTGGGCAAATGTGGCCCTTTTACAACCTGTGGACTTCAACTCCCAGAATCCACAGGTTGTAAAAGGGCCACATTTGCCCACCCCTGCTCTAGTCCACTGTAATCAAGATATGGGAAAGGAGTTAGTCTGACTACCTTACCTATATCCCTTTCTACCGATTTCTCTAATACAACTACCAAAGTGGATACCTTAAAGAGTGTCCCTTAAGGCCTGACAAGGAGACAGGGACAATTGGTAACTGTGGTATATTTTATTAAACCAAGGAAGTAGAAACTCAGCTGCTCTCTAGTAATTTATTTCTTAATAGGAGCTAGATGGCTATTGAAGAGTGTATACTATTTATCTATTTTCTTCTCAAACACTAGTGAACAAGTTTAATAAAGCCTAAATCTAGCAAAAATGTCAAATTCTGAAAAGGGGAGAGGCTCCTTTTGTTTTCTGCAAGATTATAGAAATCTGATGGGAACAGGGATTTGCTGGTATTGGAGAAGCTGCCTTTAATATAGTTTACTGTAATGTAAGATGCCAACAGAACTCTTGCTTCCTGTTTAATTGAATTAGAGATTAGTAGTTAGCTCTCCAGTCTTGCCATTTTAAAAAAAAGCTATTTCAAATTATTTTTTTTCTGCTTTTAGTTTGGATTGGACTACCTCGTCTTGAAAATCTTCGAATTCATAGCTTGAATATGAAGCATCTCTTATATTGGGATAATCTATATAATGGAAATGTGAGCTTCATAGTACAGCTGCTTCCGTAAGAATCCTTATTATGTATTTCTTATTTTCATATTGCATCTCATTTCTACTATTTTTATTTTTTTGAAGCTTCGCGTATGTGTGCATGCTGAAATATTTGAAGATTAGTAGGGGGGTGCAAACATACATGCGCTGCTGTAAGAATGATGACAGTGAAATGATATCACTGGTGGGGGCAAAGGGAGTTTAATTGATAACAAACATTATCTACACATATGACAGTTTAACATATTTCACTGTTTATTGTCCTGCCAAGGGCAGAAAGATTGAACTACTTTTTGGTTAGAGTTGGAATATAATGTGCTGATAAGTATATTGCATTCAATTAACTTTCTATTCCTATAGTGGATACAAAGCCCATCATTCTCTTGATATTTCAAAGGACTGGAAAAATGTATCTGAATGTGAAAATATCCAAACTACATTTTGTGATCTCTCGTCTTTCATTGGCTCCAATGGAATTTACTATCTCCGTGTGCAGGCAGTACATAGTGATAACAAGTCACCTTGGTCTAAAATCTTAGAATTTAAACCTATAGAACAAAGTAAGTTTCACTACTTACATCCATTCTGTTGTTGCTTATGAATAATACTGAAATACTTAATATTGTTCATCAAAATTTCTGTAGCGTAGCTTGTAAGTAATGTGTGTGTTTGTTTGTGTATGCATACAGAAACATACTTCTTGAAAGCTTACTGTAAAGCACAAAAAGCTTTATATCATAGCAGAGTTTTTTAAAAACAAGTATAAGCTCTCCTTAACTAATATGCAGGATGGGCAGCCTATGGCCTTAAATAACTTATTTGAGCTCCTCCTGGTAAGCATGGTAAGTGAGGATGACATTTCTTGACTACATAAAAGGAGAAAAAAATGTGGTTGGATGGTTAGGTTGTTTTCAGACCCTGAAGTGCCCATTGCCTTAAAAACCCTCATACAAAATGATTGAATCATAATTTCCATTTGGGAAGGAAAATCATATCATCCTTTGCACTCTACTTAGCAACTCAATTGGACACAAAGACCAGGCAGAACAGTAAGACCGAATGAATACCAACCCACTCCAGTTTGAAAATGGTTTCTTAATTGCCTGTAATATCAGAATCCCTCTGAAGTGAATGGAAATGTGGTAGCAGTATTTCACTATGAATTGCTCCTGCAAATCTTCAGTTATATTAAAAAGGATGTAATTAGAATTATACAACTATCCTACAGGCAGAAACTGTTTAAAAAGGTTTTTTTTTTAAGAAATCTGTTTTGAAATAGAAATTTTTCTTTAGTTTTAGAGTTTTAGCTTTCAATATTAGGCATGTTAAATGTGTAATGAATATAAAATTGTTTTAAAGATAAAATGGGCCCACCAAATGTTTCAGTCAATGCCAGTGAAGATTCAATTAATGTTTTCATCGCTTCTCCTGGAGAGTCTGAAAACAGACCAATGAGTGATACATATGAACTGACTTACAACGTTTGGTATTCGACTTCATCTATCACGGTAACATTTTTATTGTTCAAGAGCAAATACACATTTATATCAAAGCCTTTTACCTCAAACCTTCTAAAAACCTATGACATATTTGATAATTTTGCTGCTTTTGCAGTCCAACTGGACCACTTGAAAGCTGATGAAGAAATTACTGGCATACACTAACAGAAATGGCAAAATACAGCTTTTATCTTCCACTTGAATTATTTCAACATTGAGCCCAATAAAATAATTGTTTGTGTGTGTAGATGTATGTATGTCCTGACTCATTCTTAGAGATTTTATAGTTCACTTCTGCAGAACATCCTCTCATTGGAATCCTCTTCAAAATATTTTATGGATTTTGTTTTGGAAGATAGTTACACATTCAAATTGCAAGTTGTTAAGGGCCTGCCAACAGTGCAGTATGTTCACCCATACTTTTTCCAGATAGCATTTCCACTAAAGAACTGAGTAGCCACACAATAGTACTTTTCAAACACACACAGAGTCACAAAAATGTGGTTGTTTTTAAGAGCTGCTGTATTTGTGCTTCTGTATTTTCTCCACATATTTTCAAATAATTTTCAAGTTATGTACAAGTATACTTAATGTATCTTTTTAAAAATGAATCCTTAAATCTTAATGTATCTTTAAAAAAGAATCCTTAAATAATATAATACAATTTTGCCTTTTCAATTCAGTATCTTCAAGTGGAAAGTATATCTTTGTCATCTGTGCTTTCTTCAGGAGCATTAAACACAAACGTGTCATCTCAAATACTGCTAACTAGGAAATAGCACCAATGACAGCCAATCAGTTGTCATCAGTATTTTCCTATTCTTCATATTGATTGACCCATATTTCTGCAATTACATTGTATATTGCTTCCAATGAAAAATATTTTTCTCATAATTTATTACAATTTAGTTATTGGTCTGGTTTATCTATGTATGTATTCCCTTTCATGTTTTTTGCAGAAGGAACTCAGACGTAAACCATCACAGTTTATAATCTCAGATCTGATCTCCTCAACATTATATTGCTTAAAAGTGCAAGCATTTTCCGAAGTATATAATATAAGTAGTGCTTTTAGCAATGAAACTTGCATTAAAACAGCCAAAGGTATGCTTACATTTTATTTGGAATATCTTATATCTCTGCTCGCATTTTTAGTATTTATATTATGCCTGTTAGGTATATTAGGGTTTTGAAGTATAAAATTACATTCATAACTTTTAAAAGAACTGCAACTTCAAAATGTTCCCAGACTTGAAAGCAGATTTTTTTAATAATATAACTATGACTCTTGGGAATGGTTTTGAGAAAGATTCAAAAGGATTGTATTTCATAATATGGCAGATTCAATACGGAGCTATTTTCAACCTTACGTTAAATGCATATTTATTAGGAAGCATATAATCATTATATTTGGAGCTTTTATTGAGATAAAATTGTGTTCTCAGAGCCCATGTACATTTGGATGTCCTTATTTTTGCATAAAATAATTTGTTAGCCATAAATAATTCTGGGAAAGGTTAAAGGTAACTTTTTTGAATCTGTCATAAATTTGAACGGTTGTTAAAAAATTGACTGTAAATTGAGGACTACCTGTATTTTGCCAGACTTCTTTGGAGTTGTGTCTTGTTCCTTTGTTATTGATATTTCAGAAGGAATTGAAAATTTAATTCTGGTGGGCTTTCAGACTTGGAACTGCCTTCGTTTCTTATATATGTTTTTCAAGCTACTTTATATTGTGTTGGGAAGATGGATAATATTTTACTGCATGGGTTATTTTTGTGTTTTCATACATTGACCAAAGTCTGGTAGTATGAGTGCTATAAAAACCTGTGAGTAGCTAAAAACTGCTGCTGGTAAGCTTGCTATAAAATTACATTTACATAAAAATATAATGTAAACCCTTTCTCTGTTCTACATGATGAATACTTGCTACATGAGTTATTTTCATAGGGATGAGACTCTGCTGATTTCTATTGACAGAGGGGAAATAATTCCATTGAGTTTTATGGATCAGTTGCTCCTGATAGTAACAAGGCTAAAATGCTGAAATTAGGTACAATGGAGGTATATTGGGGAAGATTTTAGAACTCTGTATCCAAACTACAATGAGCAAAAATGGAAGGGGAAAAAAACTTTATGTGTGTAGTAGGCAAATATATAATTCTGTCCTGCGTGATACAAGCCATCAAGGTTATTAATGATAAGAAATCTACTTTGCTTTCTTGTGCAACCCAATTTCACTCCAATTAGCTTGATTCTCTTTTTGTTTTGTAGGAGAATCTTCACATTTCATCCCCCTAATTATTTCTGGTGCCGTGCTTTGTATAATATCTTTCATCGTTGCTATTTATTATGCTTGGAGAAATATAAACTATGCATTCTTCCCTAAATGTAAACCTCCAATGGTCATAGACATAGAGGTACAGTATTTATCAACAATTTAACATATTATTTAAAATAAATAAAATTAAAATAATTGTGGAAAAGTAGACTAGAAGTATCACCTATATTCATGTGGAAACTTTTAAAATTCTCTTGGAGTGGGCACATACAGATCTCTGTGAGAATGCTGTTCTGTAGGGGGAAGATACAACAACAGAGATTCATTTGGAGTATATTCTAGTAATTAGGCTGGTCTGCTAATGCTCAAGAGTTAATAATCTTTTCAGAATTTAAGCAGTACTTTTAAACTTCAGTGAGTTAGCTTAATTCTATCTCTATATAACTTTTAATAGTGCCTTGTATAATAAATAGCTTCAGCAGAATTTTATGATACTGTAATAGTGATTATTAAATTATTTAAAATGTTTACATTTTTCTTATCACTTTATTATGTCCCACTGCAGAGCACTGGAGAAAACGATTTGAAGAGATTATATTTCCCAGTTGCAAAAGAGCAAACAGACAAATGTATGGTCATAAATTCCAGCATTGCTCTTCCATGTAAAGTTAACCTGGATGATGTCAGAGTCGACAAAGAGTTGGAACAGATCAGTCAAGACTCAGGAAACTATTTTATTGATAACATCATTTCTGGAGATAACGAATCCCATCAATCCTCAGAACTAATAACAGTATAACTGCAAGATAATGCAAGCTGGAAACAAGATGAGGACAGCATCATAATGAGGAAAACCTGATTATAGAAATCATCTGTATTACCTTTAGTCTATAAAGAACAAAGACCTGGGCCTAAAAGTGGGCCAGAGCTGCCTTTGCTGACACTGATTTTGAGCTTTGTGGCCTGCTGCTGGAAGAACCACTTACTACAAGTGAAGGAACAAATTTGTTTTCTCTTCTTAAAATGCTACAGGAAAAAAATGACTTTATACGACTGGTGCTGAAATCACATTTCTGTGTTTATGTATACATACCGTACAAAAAACACACCTGGACATTTCATTCTTACAGTATTAACTGCAGTGGATTCTAAGGGACTAATTGTAGGCTGAGCCAGTCTATAGGAGTTTTCAAAAGTATTAAAGAAAAAGGCTACTTATCGTTTTAAAAGGAAAGAAGGAAGGAAAGAAGAGTGTGTGTACCAAATAAATATATGCAGTGGTTATGTTTTCCTTGTGCTGTATGATCACAATATTGGTGCTTTCCTTGTTCATCATTCATTAAGCAAGATCATTCTTTGACACAAAGCAGTTCATCAGGGTAAACTTGTAATAAGTGTTAACAGCCGATTAAAAACTTTATAATCTGTATGAGTTACAGGCAGTCTATGCAAGCAATTGCATGCATGGCCAAAATATTTTTCTGTAGCACCCTGAACCACTTTTCAACGATGATTGCCAGATACCAATAGCACAGTTTCCTGCTATTTTGAGCTAGAAAATGCATACAAAAATTATAGTACTATAATCCTTTTAATGGACTTAATACAGCTTTATATAACACAGTCAAATATTCCATCCACAAACTGGGAGGGGTGGGGGGGGGCACACTGGAAAACCTTGGCCTCACCCAGCTGTCTGAAGCGCTACTACTCACTGGTCTTCAACCTGTTCCCCAAAATGAAGGATGTCCACTCTTAATCTTGGTTAAGTCTCTTGAATGAAAATTAATGTAAGCAGAAAGTTTTTATTTCCATGAACACCTATTTTCCAATATATTTCAGTTTTAGCCTGAAAAAAATAAGTTCTTATTGAACAGGAAAATGATTGGGTGGCTTTTGGCCAGTCATTCTCTTTCAGCTCAACTTACCTCTCATAGGATTGTTGTGGGGAAAATAGGAGGGAGGATTATTATATACACCATCTTCACTTTTATATAGAAGGTAGGATATAAATCAAATAATTTTAGTTAACAGTTAAAAGCATAGACTTAGGAATCTGCAATTTGAATGTATAAAGGACAGTAACGAAGTTTGTTGTATGAGAGGTTCTGAGAATTTGATTTGCTCTTCCCTAGGGTGGAAAAAAATCACTAACCAGCAATCAAAAATATCAAATATATTTAAAAATAACAGAGAAACAGCCCTAAAGTTAAATGGGGTGGGAAACAATAGGGTTTTACGTATGTCGTATTTATCTTTTGACAATAAAGGATCTGAGTGTAACATTGAATAAACTTTTTTTTAAAGAAGACCTTGGCTTTAATTTTGAATGTTATCCTCTAATTTATTTTGATTTAAACATGGCTGAAAGGCCACTCAGACTTGCTTGATATGTATTTGAAATAATATACACTATTCAATTTGTATCCTGTTGGAATAATCTGTTTATCATTTCTCACATATTCATCCATGTGTACTGGCTGGTTGTAATTGGATACCAAGGGAAGGAAATATTAACAAATTAATATGTTAGCTTCATTTTAAATAGAAAAGTAAATTAAGTCATCTTATTTTTATTTGGAGGATTGGTATTTGTGCAAAAATAGTTTTAGACCTAAATGGTAGTATATATGTGCACAAACAATATACATCTGAGAGTGAGATATACAGTAATGCACCTGTGCATGCATTTATGCAGAAGCAGCTGGGATAGTTTGTGAAGTACCTGCACAAGTTTTCCAAAAAAATGTTACTTGTAAGATTTATAATGTATGCTTTGCAAAGCACCTCTTCCAAAATCCTTTGCACAAGTTTAACATGAATTAAGTTTGCAGCACAATAGTGAATTATTCTGCTGACAATAACAGGAACAAAATGAGACCCACTTGGAAATTTAACATTGAAGCCTGAAGCCTGACATATATGTGTGAGACAATTAATTGATTTCAATCAATTAATTGTATTAAGCTTTTTCTCTGCACCCTACAGAAGGAGTTCCCTTCTGTGCATGGAGGAAAGTTGAGAAAAATGTAAAAATTGAGTTTAAATCTATCCACCCAACTGAAGGAGTGCCTTTCAGCCCATGGAGGGGAACTTGCACCCTTCAGAACACAGCTTTTTCAACCAGCACATAGAGACAAGAGGGAGCCAAAATCCAAGCAGGATTTTTAGCTCTGAGCAGAGCAATGATTCACCGCAGCCAACTCACTGCGGGACAAGAATTACACTAGTATTGAAGACATGGTGGAATAGAGTCATTAAAGAAAGGATGCCAAAGGAGGACAAATGACAAATGAAATGTTTTAATTATTTTAAATAATTAAATTGAAGTGTTGAATTGTCCTGTGACAAGTTCTATGGCGAGTTGGCCATGATGAGGTGTCCCATGGTGAGCTGGTTGTGGCAAATTGACCATGGCAAGTTGGCTGCAGCAAGTTGTTCCATTCCAGGCTGGGGAGGTCCTGGAAGGCCTGGTGCAAGCCACATGTGAGTGTCTCTCAGGGTCTAAAAATCCTGCTTGGGTTTTGGTAGGATTTTCAGGTCCTGAGCGAAGCCTTCCAGGTGTTCCTGCCCAAAACACTTTACCTGGGACTTCACCTGCTTAATGACTCACACAATTGCTTAATGACCATAACTGGGGGTGCTAGGATTAAAGTTATTGAGTGAAGCAGTCATGTGAGCACTCCTGTGACATCCCTCAATAGTATTTTTGTTCGAGACGGTCTTTCGGGATCGCCAGCCTCGTCGCCCGTAAGAGCCGTCTCTACAGCTGAGAGACGGCTCGAAAAACTCTGTCTCCTTGAGGAGACGTGAGAGAGAGCTGGCAAGGACAGGTAGAGCCCTCTGCGAACTCCCCAGAGTTTTTTTTTTACTCTTGGGGAGGAAGCAGAATGTGGCTCCCTATCCAGCTCGCCGCTGCTCCGGGCTTCGGGGGAACTCTGCGTTTCGCAGAGCCAGGCGATGGGACCAACCCAATCAACGAAAATTAACAGATTGTCTGAACAAACAGGATGAAATCCAGATCTGGGACTCTAAACTGCAAGTATTTCTAACAACCCTATGAGTGATTTTAAAAGCGAAGAAAGTTTAAAATGGCAACTGGCTGAGGCTTGAGAAGAAAGCTGAAAGCGAAAGTCCTTCCGTTTGAATAGTTTAATACGTTACAAAGTATCTGAAACAATAGCGCTGGCTAGAAGTGAAGAGAAAAATTCCTATTTCATGCTTCTTCCTTCTTAGAGACTTGATATTGATATTGTTTGGAGAGTTTTTTTCTTTAAGAAGAGTTTATTTGTGTGGCAGGATGGCGTTAAAACTGACAAAGCCAGACAACCAAGCTGTGGGGGGGGGGGCTCCCCCATTTACAAATCACATGAACAAGCTTTGAGCTTGCAGATGCAGAAGAATGGCTTTAAAGACCTAAAGGAATTGTTTTGGAGGAGATGGCAAGACATGATGAGATTGTGAACCAGAATCTTGAAAAATTCAGACAGGAAATTAAAGAGTTGGTACAACAAAAGTATGACAACCTGAAACGATATATTGTAACAACTTTGAAAAGCTTTTCAGAAATAATTATAAAGATGGATAAAGATATCAACTTAGAAATAGAGTCTAAAATGAAGGAAGCTGATTATAAGATTCATAATCTGGATAATAAAATACAAAGAATTGAAAATGATTTGATAAATATTCAAGAAAATAGCTCAGAAGTAGAGTCAAAAATAAAGGAAGCTGATCACAAGACTTACAATGCAGATAATATAAAACAAAGGATTGAAAATCAAGTCACAATGATGCAATACAGATCCATGGAATTTGCGGTCAGAATAAGGGGAATACAGGAAAATAATAGAGATGACTTGAGAAAGATGTCTGCTGAAGTTCTGGCTGTGATTTTAAAGGTTAGTCCTGAAGAGGTATCCTGTAAGATTGAGGCCTACAGAGTTAATTCTTGGGTGGCAAAGCAAAGGCAGTTGCCTAGAGATGTGGTGATTTACTTTACTGATAAAGGAATAAGAAATGATATTGTGCAAAAGTCTTTTAACTCCACTCTAGAAATGAATGGAAGGAAGATTTGGATATATAAAGAGCTGCCGTTCAAGATGTTAAAAGATAGAAAGGACTTTGGATTTTTGGTGACTGAGCTAAAGAAACAAAACATTTAGGTGGGATGCTCCAGTTGGTATAATATTGAGATATCAAGGAGAAAGATATCAACTAAATACTGTTGAAAAAGCGGAAGAATTTTACTATAAGGTTTTTAAAATGGATCCAACATCTCCACGTATGCCATCAGTGTTAGGAACACAGGAGGGGGATAAAGAAAAGCAAAATGAACAAGAGACTGAAACTCAGGCTAAGCAGATGGAGATGGAGGTAATGGAAAAACACAAGTTACAGAGGCCTTTTTGGATGAGCCGCTTTTGGATTCTCCTTCAGAGGCTATAGCTGGATCACCTATAAATATAAGAGAGGCGGCTTCAGATCTCAATTTGATGTCTTATCAAGTTAAAGACCAGCATGTAATTCAATCAGCTGATATACAAGTCCTAGAAAGGCAACCAGGATGGAGATCTAAACCACAACAAGTTAAGAAAAGAAGAAGCAGGTTCTACAAAACTAAAAATTTTTAAACTAAACAAAAAAAAAATTCTTTTTCTTTTTTTTAGCCAACAGACTAATGCCAGTTACTTAAGAGACGATTAAATATAATAAGCGGGATTTATAGAAGGCTGATACATGAAAATATAACTGAGGCAAATTACTGACTTATACTATTTTGAGAAGAATAACAGATCTCTGCAGTGCTGGTGCTTTTGGGATGTGGAAGATGGCCTCTGATTGAGCGGATTGGAACTTTCTATTTTGGACTCTTTGAAAAATGGATTACGTATATGTTGAGTTATAAGGCAAGAGAACTATGGGATTGGGGCATGCAGAAGATCTGGTTGTTACCCTAATGTGGTGGTTGGAATTAATATTCTAGATAAAAGACACTACAGAATATACTACATGGAATATAAATATAAAGTCACTCGGGTGGTTTTTTATATACGAAAACACTTATTATTGATGGGGGCAGATGGTAATTGAAGATACTGAATATACTGTTGGAAGTAGAACTTGATGTTACCCTAACATGGGCGATGGAATTAATAATCCAGTTGAAAGACATTACAGAAGATATTATATGGATTACAAACTTAAAGTCATTTGAGGATTTTATTTATATATGGAAATATCTTTTAGTGGTGTGGTGCGGGCAGAAGAACAAAGATATTAAAAATATTATGTATGGTAGACCTGTAGGAAAATGGGTGGAGATAGGTTAGGTTACTGATTGTTTAGTTTAGGAAAAGGGATGTTATGTTCAGATATTAATATACGTAAAAGATTTGAATTAAGAGATATATGTATGGGGTGGAGGAAATGGGTAGATTATGAGTTGAATAAATGCCAAATTAGGATTTATTATATAATTTTATATAATTATATATAATATATAAATATATATAATATATATAATATATTATATATTATATAATTTTATAGCTGAATGTTGCTTTGAAATGTATAGTATAGGGGGGATATAATAATAATGTTAGAAAGAAATGGTTAGCATATGGGGGGTGGTGTAAAAGGATGGTAAAGTATTATACAATCTGATATCAATTTGGATTTTATTTTGGAGAAGCCATGGGGGGAGGGGAGGGGGAGGGGGGGTTAGGGAGGAGGGGGAAAAAAAGGGGGGAAAATCTGTATTTGAAAAACTTTTTCAATTAAAAAAAAAGAAAATAAAAAAGAAAGTAAAAGAAAGAAAAAAAAGAAAAAAAAGAAAAAAATCAAAAAAATAAAAAAATAAAAAAAATCAAATAAAAAAAAAAGAAAAAAAAAGAAAAAAAAAGAAAAAAAATAGTATTTTTGTTCAATGACTGAGACTCCAGACCCAACTGTGGTTGTTAAGAGAAAACTAACTATAGTCCTTAGTCTATGACAACAATTAGGACTAGAATTTCTGTCGCTAAGTGATATGTTTGTAAAGTGCAAGTCACGTGACCACATCATCTAGTGATGGCAATCCCTACACATCCAGGGGACTGTTGGTTGCTGCAGGTGAGCATGTGCTAAAGAGTGCAGGTAAGAGGTTGCTATTGAGTACAAGATCACTGGGTTCTATAGTCTGTAGCAGAGCTTCTCAGGAGAAAAATGGCTTAGGACAGTGACTTGCAACCTTCTGTACTGTTTTTTTCCCATTGACTTTGCTTGTGAAAAGCTGACAGGGAAGGTTGCAAATAATGATCACGTGACTCT